TTTTACATCTGGGAGCCTCTGAATCAGATAGTCCCTAAGGTCCTGTGCAAGTTCTGAAAATATTATCAATTTCTTGAGTTGGAAAAGGGTGACATCCTATGAGCTACAGTGGGTTTGAGGACAAGGACAGATCAGTAGTAGAGTCCTTGCCTTCTGTGTGGAGACCCAGGGATTCTCGGTCAGCACACCTCCAGCGCCGCCAGCGCTCATCTGTCCGTGGAGGCTAATGTGTCGCTGTGATGCTGAACTAGCCATCAGAGTAATACCAACTAGGAAGTAAGGCCTAACCATCTACTTCCAAAAAGTCAGCCAACGAAAACTTGGTGGATCACAAGAGTCCCTGGGGATGACGCAGGACTGAGAGCATTTATTTCCTTTGTGCACTGGGTCACAGTGAGCTAGGTGCCAACGACAACAACAGCTAGCAACAGCAACACCACAGTGGCTTGAGGCCCCATAGTCATTCCATTTTCCATCAACCTCACCTGACTTAACTGGTGGTTTTCTTCCGCAGAGTGAAGCTAATGTGCCTTCTAATGAAGTCCTGGTATGGTGCTATATGATAAGCACTAGGCTGCTAACCACAAGGTCAGCAGTTCAAATCCACCAGTCACTCCTCAGAATCTGTATGCAGGGTCGCTATGAGTCATTTTGGACTCGACAGCACTTAACGCCACCACCACTCCTTTCTCCCCAGTGTGGAAGACTCAGCTGAGAGCACATGTTCTTGGTCTAAGCAGCCATCTCTCCTCTGCCTCTACCGTCTCTCCCTCTGTGGTCCCTGCGCAGTGTTCCTTTATAATTCACACTGCCTGGCAGTTTCTGGCCTGTTCCTGGCTGTCTAGTGTGAAGTTTATAGTTTCCTGCCACCACTTCTAACTCCATTCATTCCCTAGATTTCCAAACAAAACCGCAACATATCTCAGCTTCCAGTTCATCCTTTTATTACCACTGTCTTTTGTGGTTTGGGGATGCTTGCTTGTTGACAATGACTGAGAGAATGAATGTAGCTTATTTCAGATCCCTTGAGCAAAGCCTGCCAAACCCACTTGGAGAAGATAAATATTTCTGCCTCTGTGGTTTGCCATGGCCCAAGCTCTGAATTTACATAGGGAGCGGATGTTCAAAAGCCTTTTTTCCTTTTTTTTTTTAATTTGAGAAAATAAAAATTATAGCTTATAAAGCTAAGCCAAGGAAACTGCAATTTTGAAATGTTCTTCACTTTCAGCTGTGGAATGTGTTGAGCATTGATACAGTTCATTATTGTTTTACAAGGGCCTCCTCAGAGCTTTCTTACTTTCTCTGGGATTCTCTGGGCTTCAGCCGTTTCCTTTCCATCTCCCCCAGGAAATAGAAAAGATTTGGAACACTTTTGTATGTTTTCTTCACTGTTGCTTCAGCTTCTCCATTTGTGAGGATTCTATCTGCTAAAATCAAACGAGCGTATAGCTTTAGAATCAGGTTTTTTAGCAATGGGAGTAATTATGACAATAAATATTGAGGGTTTCTAATGTGCCAGACTGTGTTCTAAGTCTTCTATATGGATTAACTCCTTTAGTTACCATAGCAATACTATGAGGAGGCATTAGTACTATCTTCATTTTAGGCATGAGAATAACCAAGGCACAGAAATATTAAGGAATTATCCTAAATTTCAAAGCTAATATGCAATAGTACATAATTCCACTGTGTGTGATACTAGAACAAGTTCCAGTGTTGCCAAATAACCCCGAGGTTGGGCTAATGGAATAGACAGAGATGAGTGGTTAGATTGTTGTATTGTAGGATTTAGGGACCAGAGAAGGCACTTACTTACAAC